TTTTTATTTGCTACATCCAGCAACCCTAAGCAACAAGGACTCTGCACCCCAGCCCCCAGACTATAGGCCATTTGTGAGCTTGAGTCTCCAGGGGCAGCAGACAGGGCTGCAGCTGCTACCCCTGCCCAGCCCTTCCCCTCTGCTCCCCTCCAAGAAAGATGCATAAATGCCCAGGGTGGCCTAGGCAATTAAGGCAAATTGTCTTCTGGGCAGTCCTGCATACCTGCAGAGGAGTGTACCTGCAGAGGAGTGTACCTGCAGAGGAGTGTACCTGCAGAGGTGTGCACCTGCAGAGGAGTGTACCTGCAGAGGAGTGTACCTGCAGAGGAGTGCACCTGCAGAGGAGTGTACCTGCAGAGGTGTGTACCTGCAGAAGAGTGTACCTGCAGAGGTGTGCACCTGCAGAGGTGTGTACCTGCAGAGGAGTGTACCTGCAGAGGAGTGTACCTGCAGAGGAGTGCACCTGCAGAGGTGTGTACCTGCAGAGGAGTGTACCTGCAGAGGTGTGTACCTGCAGAGGTGTGTACCTGCAGAGGAGTGTACCTGCAGAGGAGTGTACCTGCAGAGGTGTGTACCTGCAGAGGAGTGTACCTGCAGAGGAGTGTACCTGCAGAAGAGTGTACCTGCAGGGGAGTGTACCTGCAGAGGTGTGCACAGGAGTTTCTGGGCCAAGAACAAGACCTAAGGGCTTTCTCCTCCCGTTCTCCCCTCCCTACCTCCTACCCCACATGTTTAAGGTGCCTTGAGTCCCCAGACGATCACACACTCTAGCCAGCTGTACATATCAGTACAGACACACTACAATTAGGCAACTGCTGCATGTGAGAGCCCCTGCCATAGGCAACAGGCACCATGGGCCGGACATAGAAATAGCAGGTGAGGCTCCTGCCAGTAAGCATGGCAACCTGGAATTGGGGTGTGTTATAGGTTAAATGGTGTGTTCCCCCAAAATTCATATGCTGAAGTCCTAACCCCCAGGACCTCAAAATGTAACCCTGTTGGGAGATAGGGTCTTTACAAAGGTAAATCAAGAGGACATGAGGTCATTAGAGTGGGCCCTAATCCAATATGCCTGGTGTTCTTTTACAAAAAGAAACCTGGGGCCAGGCACGGTGGCTCACACCTGTAATCCCAGCACTTTGGGAGGCTAAGTGGGTGGATCACCTGAGGTCAGGAGTTCAAGACCAGTCTGACCAATATGGCAAAACCCCGTCTCCACTAAATACAAAAAATTCACCAGGCATGGTGGTGTGCACTTGTAATCCCAGCTACTCAGGAGGCTGAGGCAGGAGAATCGCTTGAACCCGGGAGGTGGAACTTGCAGTGAGCTGAGATTGTGCCACTGCACTCGCCTGAGCAACAGAGCGAGACTCTCCCATCTCAAAAAAAAAAAAAAAAAAGAGAAGGAACTCCATCTCAAAAAAAAAAAAAAAAAAAAAAAGGAAAGGAAAAGAAAAAAGAAAGAAACTTGGACACAAATGCATTGGTTTTGGACTCCAGCGTCCAGAATTTCGAGATCATAAATGGGGGTTGTTGAAGCTGCCCAGTTTGGGGAACTTTGTGACAGCTGCCCTAGAAATCTGATTCACTGTACTTAGCCTCCGTGCTCAGGCTGGCTCCACCCTCTCTCTCCCGGCACCTCCCATCGGGTGGGGACCTGCAGCCATTCCCAGGTGGGGGTCTCCACAAGGACAAGTTTGAGATGAAGCCTCAGGTCACCTGGCTTCCTGGATCTATAAACTCTCATCTGAGCAACAGGCTTGGCTCAGGAAAGCCACTCGGTGCCAACCAGCTTGAGAGCCTAGCTCCCGGAGGCAGACCACCCCGCAGAGAACACACACACTTTTGTAACAGCCTTGCTGGGGAAATTTGGCCCCCACTGGCTGCCAAAACCTCACTGGAAGTCAAAAATAGAATTGTCAGATCTTGTGGCTGAATGAAAGAAACTCAGACCAGCAAGGTAAGGAAGACAGAGTTTCTGCTCTCCAGAGCCTGCCTGTGCTCTCAGGACAGGCCTTGGTGGGGCAGCATGTGAACCAGTGGGGCAGTGTTTTTCTTTCTTTTCATGTTCCCAGCACCTGGCACATGGTAGGTGCTCAGAAAGTGCTAAGGACTTCTTAAATTCAAACATACACATCCTAACCCATGCAGCAGGGAACGGAGATCACTGGGCACTCATGAGCTGTCCTCTGGTGGTGGGAAATTTGAGCCGCTGTCTTCAGGACCCAGACCAGGCATCAGGGACCCAGATTCTGGAGCAGACAACCATGCCGGCTGACCTCGGACGACGTTTCGTCCCGTACTCTGTGTCTCTTGTTCTCTGTGAAATGCAAGAGCCTCCATCCCTAAGGGGGCAGAGTCCTTCCCGGTTTCGGGCTTGGTGAACGGAGCCTGGTGCGAAGCTAGAAGGAAGCCCCTTGGCTCCCACCTGCCAGCCACTGCGGGGCACTCCCCCAAGACCTTCTAGCCATCTCCGTTGCTCAGAGCCCCACTGTGGGAGGTCCGAGCTCTCAGAGGCTGCAGGGAAGAGTGACAAGGATGACGCCCCCACCAACCCCATCAGGGTTCCTGCAGGTGCAGATCACACGTGGACCGCCCAGGCTTCTCTTTAGTGTTAAGAGGAGATGAATAGATTGAGTGACTGCCTTGCACCTGCCTCAGGAGACCGTAGTGAGCGGTAGGAGGAAGGCGTGGAGACAAAAGGGGGCTCCAGGGTAACCCCTGACTGAACTGAGAGTGCACAGGTGGTCATCCCGCACCCAGTCCTCCTGTCAACACCAGTAAGTGGGCGGGCCCCTCCCTGGGCAGGACAAGACCCCTGGGCCTGAGGCAGATGGGAATGAGAGCAGGTGGCAGGGGTGAACATCTCCACAGGAGGCAGAGCCTGGGAGCCAGCGCCTCCAGTTGGCCCCTACTGCTGGGTGTCATGGGTGTGAAGGGAGACGTGTGGACCGCCACCAGAAGGGGAAGGGACCTTCCAACCCACAGGCAACAGCACGCTGGGCCCAGGTGGGGGCCAAGAACCCGGTCTGGAGGTGAGCAAGAAGCTCAGGTTTGACACTGTCACCCAGAAAGATGCAGGTGGCCTTGTTCCAGCCACTTCCACTCTGAGCTTTGCCTGCTGATCACACCAAACTGCAAGGGGAACCCCCGCCCCGCACTGCCACCGCCTGAGGCCCTATCCAAACCATCCCTGATAGAGCTGAGCCTTGAGGGGCAGGACTCCCCTAAAAACATCCCCTGTCTTCAGCAGGGGTCCAGGGGCCCAGATAGTTGGGGGACCACCCCTTGTTATGGAGTCACTGGGAGGGCCACCCTAAGACAGTCAAGCAGGGGACCACCCCTCCCAGCATGGGCAGACCTAGCAGGGCAGTCCCAGGACTTGGAGCATGAGATCCAACTTCCTGAGGCTCCACTCCAGGTGGAGGCAGACCAGGCCACCACTGGCTTTCCAAGGAAGGCGCACTGCCCAGCTGTGAGGAGGGTGGTTGGCCTCCAGCTGTTGGCTTCCTCAGGGTCGGCATCTTCTCTGCTCTGGAGGAGTCTGAGCTAGGTGAGGATACAAGGGCCTGACTATTCCGTGCCTCAAGGGCTCCTCTGATGGGCAGCACTGGCTCTGCATGCCCACTGGGCTGCCAGAAGTGAGTGTGACAGATCCACACTGCAGCCTACTGACCCCTCCTGCACACTCTCTCTTTTCTTCATGGGTGTTGCTCCCTCATAAATCTCTCTCTCTCTCTTTTTTTTTTTTTTTTTTTTGAGCCTGGGTCTTGCTCTGTCACCCAGGCTGGAGTTCAGTGGCACAATCACATCTCGCTGCAGCCTCCACCTCCCGGGCTCATGTGATTCTCCTACTCCAGCCTCCTGAGTAACTGGGACAATGGGCATGTGCCACCACGCCTGGCTAATTTTTGTATTTTTTGTAGAGACAAGGTCTTGCCATATTGCCCAGTCTGGTCTCAAACTCCTGGTCTTAAGCAATCCACTCACCTTGGCCTCCCCAAGTGTTGGGATTACAGGTGTGAGCCACTGTGCCCGGCTCCTAATAAATCTTTTGCTCCCCTAACTCTGACTCAGGGTTGGCCTCCTGGAGAATCCCACCTGTGGCACCCTCTTCTATATTCCTATGCCTCCGTTTCCACCTCACAGGTGGTATCCATGGCTCTAACCCAACACTGCAGCAGGACTGAGCCAGAACCCTGTGCTGTGCCCACCTTCCCGAAGCACTCTGACCTCATGATTCCCCTACTGCCCAGTGAAGAAACGAGACAGCCTCGTGCCCACCCCACAGCACTGGCCATGCCTCCTGCATCGTTCCTAATGATTAGTATCTGTGTCTCCTAAAGATGCTATGAGCACCTTAAAGGGCCTTCCCATATTTATTCTAATTCTTCCAGACCAGTCAGCAAGTGGCCAGCCCGGCACTCTCTAGGCCCCCGGTGAGTGGGATGTCCACTTCATGAGGATGCTCCCTCCTCCGGAGGACAGCCCTGGCCAGTGGAATGTTCTGGATTGTAGAAACCTACCACCCCATTCTTCCCATTATTCCTCACACGACTGGATTTCCAAATCCAGTCCCCCACCACTGTGCCCACGCAACCTGAACATGTTGTAGTTTGCTGATGAACTTCAAAAGTGGGATACCCAGGGCTCAACACAGCTCCCTGGAACGAGCCGATCGGCTGAGCGGAGAAAAAAGGCTCTGTGGACACATTTGTTGACATAACCAAAGGTCATATTCGTTACCTTGGACTTCATGCAGACTCTTCAGTCCGAATACCTGCGTTCATATATCTTCTCAGTCAGCTTCACCTCGGATGCATTACTTCATGTCTGTGCCTCCGTCTCTCAGCTGTGAAGTAGGATCCTACCAGTACCCTCCAATCGCAAACCGAGAGGCTGGGAAAAGGCAAGGACGCCTATCGGCCGGCAGAGGGCGCTGCGCACCCGTGTTGGACGGAGCTAGCTGCCGAGCATGACCGCCAGGGGTCGCCCGAGCGCTGCCGTCCAGGCCCCGGGCTCCGGCAGAGCCTGGCTGGCCTTCGGCGCCCAGCGGACCTGCACCCCTGGGGCCTTGGTACGTGCCGCCCTTCCCTGCTCCTCACTCTCCCCGCGCCCCTGATAGGCTCCTAGTGGTTCCCTGCAAATCCCCACACCAGCCCGGATGCGGTGGCCGAGGGCAGGTGGGCAGGCTGGGTGAGATTGGCGGGATGGTGTAGGCAGTGATGCCAGCCTTGGAAAGGATGGAAATGACACCGCACGGAGTACAGCAGACCCACCACCTCCAAGGACTCGATGAGGTCGAGGCCAGCTCCTCTCCCTAGCAGTGTCTTTTCGTCACCTGCTCCTGAGGCCTGTCCTGGCCCAGGACCTCATGTGCTCCTCCTGGCCAGGTGCCTGTACCATCCACCCTTGCCCGGGGTGCCCTCTGCTCCATTAGATGCCCCGCCTGAGAGCCTGCGAACTCCCAGGACTGCTCCTCCGTGGAGGTCCCCAGGGCCAAGGAAGCAGGCTGGCTTTAGCGGGTACTGCAGAACAACAGACGGGATCCAGAGCTGATGTTAGAATTCTCCTTCCCGGCCGGCACAGTGGCTCACGCCTGTAATCCCAGCACTTGGGGAGGCCGAGGCGGGAGAATCACTTGGGGTCAGGAGTTCGAGACCAGTCTGGCCAACATGGCGAAATCTCATCTCTACTAAAAATACAAAAATTAGCCAGGCATGGTGGTGCACACCTGTAATCCCAGCTATTCAGGAGATGAGGTAGGAGAATCGCTTGAACTCTGGAGGCAGAGGTTGCAGTGAACTGAGATCGGGTCATTGCACTCATTGTCAGCCTGGGTGACAAGAGCAAAACTCCATCTTAAAAAATAAAAACAAAAATAATTCTCCTTCCACTTGGTGAGGAAATGGAGATGACACCTCTTTCTGGCCAGATGGGAAATGGCAGTGAATGGTCACAGTTCCCCTTCCTCTTGGTGGCCAAGGAAGCATTTTAATTGGGCCTAAAGTCGAGAAAACTCCTGTTTCCAAACGGCTTGCTGGGTCCTTGTCAGCCAAGGGAAGACCATCACATGTCCATGAAGATTCATTTTCAGTGTCGACTTGACCATGGGATGCCCAGGCATTTGGTCAGACATGATTCTGTTGTGGCTGTGAGGGTGTTTCTGGATGCAATTTGCATTTGAATGGGCAGACAGAGTACAGCAGATCCTCCTCCCTAGTGTGGGTAGGCCTCATCCAATCAGTTGAAGGCTTGCTAGAGCAAAAAGGCTGAGGCTCCCACAGGTAAAAGGACATTACCTGCCTGACTACTTGCGCTGGGACATCATTTTTTTCTTGCCTTCAGACTTGCACTGAGACCTCAGCTCATCTTACATCTTGAGCCTGCTCGGTTTTGGAATGGAGCTACACCATTGGCTGTCTAGGTCTCCAGCTTGGCAACTTGCACTGCAGCCTCCATCATCAAGTGAGTCAATTCCTTTTCACAAGAGTGTGTGTGTGTGTGTGTGTGAATATACTTGTATGTATATGTCTGAATGTTTATTTTCCCCCAAAGTTCACATGTTGAAATCCTAACTCCCAAGGTGATGGTATCCGGAAGTGGGGCCTCTAGGAGGTGAGGTGGTGAGGGTAAAGCTCACATGAATGGGATTAGTGCTGTTACAAAAGACATATGCACACCACATCCTCTTCATTCTGCTTCTCTGGAAAGCCCGGACTAAACATCCAAACCAAAAGAGCAACACGAGTGTCAGGTGTGGTGGCTCATGCCTGTAATCCCAGCACCTCGGGCGGCTGAGCCAGGTGGATTGCTTGAGCCTGGGAGTTGAAGACCAGCCTGGGCAACATAATGAAACCCTGTTTCTACCAAAATACAAAAAATTAACTGGGCATGGTGGCTTGCACCTGTAATCCCAGCTACTCTGGAGGCTGAGGCACAAGAATTGCTTGAACCCGAGAGGCAGAGGTTGCAGTGAGCTGAGATTGCACCAGTGCACTCCAGCCTAGGTGACAGAGTGAGACCCTGAAAAAAGAAAAAGAAAGAAAGAGAAAGAGGGAGGGAGGCAGGGAGGGATGGAAGGAAGGAAGGAAGGAAGGAAGGAAGGAAGGAAGGAAGGAAGGAAGGAAGGAAGGAAGGAAGGCTACTTAAAATTATCCCTGAGGTTGAAATGACTGTGTCGAAGTGTTTATGGCAAAATGTCTTGTATTGTTCTCTATCCCTCCTATGTTCCAACTAAACGGGAATTTTCCATTCCCATTCCCTAATTTCTGTACTCCTATAGTACTCTCTGCCTGGGGCACCCTTCACGGTTCACCCCCAAGGTTGCACTCTGATGCCACCTCCCGCATGAAGTCTTCCTCTGCACTCCCACACACGCTGCTTGTGTCTATTAGGAATCCTTTCGGCTGCACGCAACAGATCCTCTGACTAGCAGTGACTTAAACAAAGAGTGGTTTATTTTTCCTTAAATAAGTATAGGGGTAGGTGGTTGCCGACATGAGTGTGGTGGCTCAGAGATGCCCAGTCTGGCTCTCTGAGATTCTTGACCTTCCCCTCATGATTACAAGATGGCTGCAGTTGCCCAGAGCATCATACACTCCCATCAAGTTCAAGGAAGAGAAGTGAGGGGGTAGAGCAGGGGAGAGCTTTTTCATTTGCCTTCCTTTTATTTGGGAGAAAAAAAAACCTTCCCAGGAGCTTCCAACAGATGTGTCCAGAACTAGGCCACAAGGCCCCCTTCACAGACTGAGGATGGACCTGCATTCCTGAGATCAAGGGAGCTCCACTGAGGCCTACACAAAACGGGGTTCTGGCAGCAGGGAAAAAGGGAGGGGGAAGCTTTTGAGGAGGCAGCTTCTCCCACATTGCCAGCTGTCCCTTTCCTACCTCCTGCTGTAGATCACAGGGCTGACCATAAAAGGCACTTAAAACATTCAGACTTCATTTTGATTACAGTCAGGGAGCCTCAAAAGGCCTTGAGCAGGAAGAGGCGTGTTCTGACATGCAGTTCATACGGCTCCCTCCAGCCACAGTGGGCTGTGTGCAGGGCGAGAGAGGAGGAAGCGGGAGGCTGCTGTGGAGGTCCAGTGAGAGGTGGAGGGAGGTTGACAGGACTTGGCAGCAAGGCTGGAAACAAGTGGAGCTCCAGGAGGATCATGCGGGAGGCAGATCCATGGGGCCCACTCACTTATGGGCAGGGGAGCCCAGGAGAAAGTAAAAACTGCTTGGGGATCAGAAGGGAGGAGGAGTGTGAAGAGTTTGGTTTGGGTCATCTTGGATTTGAGATGCTGCAGGGCTGTCCTGGGGTCTTGTCCCCAGTGGGTAGGACAGTGGCTCTGGTCCTCAAGAGATAGGACAGGGCTGAGACACTCCTTGGAGTTACTGGTGTGTTGATGGAGAAAAGGCAAGAGAAGACACGGGAGAGAACGGGCTCTTCTCCGGAGGCTGAGAGGTGGATAAGGAACAAAGCCTTCAAAAGCACCAATAGCAGCTGGGCGCAGTGGCTCACGCCTGTAATCCCAGCACTTTGGGAGGCCAAGGCAGGTGGATCATTGAGGTCAGGAGTTCGAGACCAGTCTGGCCAACATGGTGAAACCCCCGTATGTACTAAAAATACAAAAATTATTTGGGCATGGTGGTGGGCACCTGTAATCCCAGCTACTTGGGTGGCTGAGGCAAGAGAATCACTTGAACCCAGGAGGTGGAGGCTGCAGTGAGCTGAGATCGTGCCACTGCACTCCAGCCTGGGCGACAGAGTGAGACTCCATCTCAAAAAACAAAAAAGAGGGGGGGGGGCACCAATAGGAGACTAAGAAGGAGGCCCCCCAAAAAAGAGAGGAGACGGCAGGACAGGGCAGGACAGCTCCCAGGAAAAGGGCTGACACAGCGACACAGCTTGGACTTTATAACTCATAGGGTTCTCATTCCTCTAATTCTGGTCTCCAAGAACCTAGAGTAAATCCAAAATTTACTGAACTTCACTGTAAGTTCAGCCCTATGGATAGAACTTAGCTCTAAAAGGATATATTTCAGCTGTTTCTCTGCTGAACCACAGTAGTCAGTGTGGTGCACGCTTGAAACTTTTAAACAAACTGTCAGTCTTTGGAGAGAAGCAACTAATCTCGATATCTACCTTCTTTCAGTGTTGTAAGAAACATCCTCAGTTCCTTAGGTTCCTCACCTGAGACTATTTCACAAATCTTTTATATGCACAAGCCAACAGACACAGCTAATCAGTTTTTGTATTAAAACATTTTGATTTGTGGTACATGCAAATATTAATATATTCTGCCAGCCAGGCGTGTTGGCGCACGCCTGTAATCCCAGCACTCTGGGAGGCTAAGACGAGGATCGCTTGAGCCCAGGAGTTTGAGACTAGCTGGGACAACAGAGTGAGAACCCATTTCTACAAAGTAAAGATAAATTAGCCAGGCATGGTGGCGTGCACCTGGAGTCCCAGCTATTCAAAAGGCTAAGGCAGGAGGATCGCTTGAGCCTGGGAGGTTGAGGCTGCAGTGATCTGAGATTGCACCACTGTACGCCAGCCTGGGAGACAGAGCAAGACCCTGTCTCAGAAGTATAAATGTATAGCTGGGCGTGATGGTTCATGCCTGTAATCCCAGCACTTTGGGAGGCTGAGGAGGGCAGATCACTTGAGGTCAAGAGTTCAAGACTAGCCTGGCCAACATGGTGAAACCCTGTCTCTACACATACAAAAATTAACCGAGTGTGGTGGTGTGTGCCTATAATCCCAGCTACTCAGGAGGGTGAGGCAGGAGAATCGCTTGAACCTGGGAGGTGGGGGTTGCAGTGAGCCAGGATTGTGCCACTGCGCTCCAGCCTGGGTGACAGAGTAAGACTCTGTCTCAAAAAAAAAAAAAAAAAAAAAAAGGTGGCCGGGTGTGGTGGCTCATGCCTGTAATCCCAGCACTTTGGGAGGCTGAGGCAGGCGGATCACCTGAGGTCGGGAGTTCGAGACCAGCCTGGCCAACATGGAGAAACCACATCTCTACTAAAAATACAAAATTAGCTGGGCATGGTAGCGCATGCCTGTAATCCCAGGTACTCGGGAGGCTGAGGCGGGAGAATCACTTGAACCCGGGAGGCGGAGGTTGTGGTGAGCTGAGATCGCTCCATTGCACTCCAGCCTGGGCAACAAGAGCAAAACTCCTCCGTCAAAAAAAAAGGGGGGCATAAATATATATTATATTTAATTATATATAAATATAAATCATATATGTTAGATATATTATATAAATATAAATCATATATTAGATTTATATTAATATATCTATATAATAGATATATTACTGCCTACCAGACCATGGATCCAATTTTTAGCACAGAGGTGTGACACACATCAGTGTGACTTTCCAGAACTCCACTTTCCCTAGGCTGGCTTTGGGGTGAAGATGAGGCCCTGGGGTGCCTGTCTGATGGCCACGTCCACTGCTCCTTGCTGGGCAGCGAGGAGCTCAGGAAAGCAGGTTGGGTCCTGAGAGATGCATGGTAATTCATCTGAACGGATTAAGGGGATCTCTCCTCTCTGCAGATGGAGAGTAGTGGGATGGGACCAGCTCTGCCTGAGATCTGAAAGTCACAGGGGCCACAGAAAAGTTTCCTGCCTGAGAAAAATGGAAGGGATGCACAAGGAGGAAACCACCTGCTAGGGGCTGAGGCAGTGACAGTGGCACTGAGGAAAGGCAGGAACCTAGCCGTGGCATCCAAAGCTGTGGAATTAAGCCCTCCTACCTCAGGGTTGAGTGTCACGTGTGCTCATAAACCTGTAGGGTAAGACCTAAAATTGAAACCCAACACTATGTGCTGCCTTGATCTCTGCTCCAATTGGAAGGGCCCGGTGTGACCGAGCTGCAAGTTCCCCTCCTCACTCTGTTCTGGAAGATGAGGCCCCCCAGCAAACATCCCTCCTTACCCAGGAGACCAGGCAGGGCTCCTGCTCACCCACGAGTTGTGGGTTTCACTTCCTTACCAGCCTGTGGAATTACTTAAACAAGTCAATCATATTCTCAGGTGGAAACCAGGGGTCACCACACCCTCTTGCTACCACAAAGCCTGCCTCCCACAGCCCCGGCTGGTTCCCTCTGTTCCTGAGTGCAGTTCCCATGGAGCCCTGTGTGGGGCAGTGTCCTCCTCCCCTGAGCTGTGAGTTCAGGTTACTAATAACCTGCTGTCAAGCTTACCTGTCCAGTATCAGGTGCTGTGTGTTTGGCCATTGCTACAATCCCAGGGCAGGAATCCCTCCCTCATTAACAGGTGAAAAGGAGGAAATTAAAACTGTTATTTACATAAGCTGCTTTAAGTCAGGTGTTATTTATAGCTGGACGCAACCTGTCATCTAAGCCCAGGTGCTCCCATAATACCAATTACTCCTACTCTGAATGTCTCCCACTTGCCCTTGCTTGACACAGACTCAGGAAAGCATCAAGCCAGTGGGTTTATTTCCTGTGCCCATAGCGTGACAGATCACAGAACCTGATCACCGTGTGGCACATCCATGAATCCAGGTAGCACTGGCATGGCTGCTCTCAACCACTGTCCAGGAAATGAGAGGCCGGTCTGTTTCCTAAAGGGGCCAATATATTATTTTTATTTTCCCTCTGGAATACTTGAAGACAATTTGTATTTGTGATTTTTTAAAGAGTTATATTTTCTACATACATTCTAAATGTGCAGAAGAACGTGCTTTCTGGCAGACAGGGGGTATGTCACACATTTTTATATCTTCTGTGTCAGAACCTTAAAATCGTTTTCTTTTAAAAATCAGACTAAAATGCTCATTAGGACCTCTGAAGCTCCCTAGAAACCATGCAATCTAATGTGGCATGTGTCGGGATTTCAGAGGACAGAGCAAAATGTTTCCAATTCTTTCCCAACCTCTCCAGCTCACCTCCCGCCTTGCCTCCACCCCACAGCTTATCTCCACCCTCGCCCATTTACAGGGCCTGTTGCAGAACAGCCCATGCACTCTCACACCTGCAAACACTGCTGGTTGCTCTGCCAGAAATACCCTTGCCCCTTTGATGCCCAAGGACACCTGCTCATTCTTAACAGTTCATCTGTTAATTCCAGATGAATTGACTTCTCCACCAAGCAGCTGACATTATCTCTCCATCTGTTTCTATATCATTCTGTATAATTGATTACGCTCACATTGTAATTTTTGTTTTGTAAACCAATTTAAGCCAAATTGTTCACTGATCTCCTTGTCTGCCTCCCCCTAAATACACATGGACTTAGGGACCAGGGCTATATTTTAGAGGCAAGTAAATGCTTCTCCCTCTCCCTTGCCTTAGAATTCTAGGGAAGAAAGTGTATCATTCCATTCGTATCTGGGTGTTGAGGCCCTTGTGTATTTGTGATGGGGGTTATTATGGGAAAAGAACGTTAAGCTGAGCTACCATCTTGGATAAAATCATCTTTTCAAGCTCATTCACATACTTTACATATCACTTGGAACTGGCTCCTGTCTGAATTCCAATTACCCTCCCTCCTCCCCACACTTAGAGCTTCCTCTAAGTGAGATTTGGCAGGGCGGGGGCACTGGCGGGGGACTGAGGCACCAACTCTGACAAGCTGCCTCTTTGAGCCATCGCTGTCTAGCAGGGCTGAAGCTAACGATTTCTATGGTTACCCCAAATTAGGAACTCTGATCGTTCTCCAATCCTTGGCCCTTTGACATGCCCCTTTTATAACCGTGCTTTTTGCATTTACAGTTCCAGCCCCATCCTTGCTGTTCAGTACCCACTCCTGCTACGTTAATCCACGAGGACTCCGGAAAGCAGCTCTGAAATTTGGAATTCCAACAATGCCTGCATTTGCTCATTTGGAGGCATTTCAAGCAGCTATTTTTATTCTTTGTTCACATCACCAGGTTTCAAGAAAGCACCCGCGACACTGTGCCATTAAATGTTGAGTCAGGACAGGAGATCTGCAAGGCAAAAACGAATTCCCCTTCTGGTTCCACCCGCTGTGCACTCACAGCTTCTGGACCCTTCCTGACCAACACGTCTCAGTGTTCACAAGAGAATCTGACACATGGGATTGACATTATGTGGAAAAACTCTTTTCCCTTTTTTTGAAAACTTAGGAGAGCTAGAGGGCTTTGGGACTTGACCAGCTCCCAGTAAAGTAATAATAGTAATGAATAATCTTTGGCAGTGGCTCATGCCTGTAATCCCAACACTTTGGGAAGCCAGAACAAGAGGATTGCTTGAGACCAGCCTGGACAACATAGCAAGACTATGTCTCTAATTACATTTTTAAAAAGAAAAGCACCTTTTTTTTTTTTTTTTTTTTTTTTTGAGATGGAATCTCGCTCTGTTGACCAGGTTGGAGTGCAGTGGCGTGATCTCAGCTCATTGGAATCTCTGCCTCCCGGGCTCAAGTGATTCTCCTGCCTCAGCCTCCTGAGTAGCTGGGATTACAGGTGCCCATCACCACGCCCTGCTAATTTTTGTATTTTTAGCAGAGATGGGGTTTCACCATGTTGGCCAGGCTGGTCTCAAACTCCTGAGCTCAGGTGATCCATCCACCTCGGTCTCCCAAAGTGCTGGGATTATAGGTGTGAGCCACTGAACCCGGCCACTTTTTCATACTGCCAAAAATTATTGGCACTTAACACTGGAGATTTGTATCTAACCATCCACTTCATGCCCTAGATTACTAGAAAGAAAGTGGAATCATCTCCTTAAATCAAGCAAATTCCCATCTCATGATGGGGCTGTGGGAATTTCTCTAGAGGACATCTTTTAAGGAAAAACAAAAAAGGCAGCCACTTCCTTGGCCTTTGGGTACGTGCTCTTGCTTCTTGTGCCCTGAGAGTGAGACCATTTTATAATCTGCAGGTCGGAAGAAATAAATCCATAAATCTGCAACTTGTTAGGTAGCAATTTTAAATGAACTAAATAAATTAATTTCATTGAGTATAAATTCACCTTATTGGAGGAAAATAGGCCTTATCTTCTAAGTAAATGCTTACAATAAATGTAGACATGAATAGTATTGTTGTTAAGAGGGAAAGAACGTTGTATTAGAAACTTAATTCCATATTTCAGGGAAACAGAATGAGACCACAGTTAGTTAGCCGTCCAAGGCAGGTTCAGTTCTTTCATTGGATTGTTCCCTGTGCTGCCGGTGGGGCCATTCACAGAAGCGAGCTACGATGGAGGGAGGCTCGCAGCCCTGCCAGCTGACATGCCCATAAATGGCTCCAGCACTGCTAGGCACGTTTAGAAGTGGGTCAGGATCTACTGAAGCTGAACACAGGCATACGCTGTGACCCACCAACGCTATTCCTAGTCACACACCCAGAAGAAACACGTCCATATGTTCACCAAAGACACATGGTAGAATATTCATAGCAGGACTACCCATAATAGCCCTAAGCTGGGAACTACGATATCACGAGGACAGACGATCCACCACTATACACACTACGGATGATCTCACATGCAATGTTGGGAGAAAGGAATCAAGCACAAAATAGCAGGATTCCTTTACATCAAGCACAGACACAGCAACCCTGGGGGTCAGAAGTGAGGAGAGGGGTGATGCTGGGAGGGAATGTCTGGAAGGAAACACGAGGGGGCTTCTGGGGTCCTGACAATGTCGTTTCTCACTTTGGGTGCTGTGCAAATGGGTGTAGTTTGTTAAGACAGTGAGCTGTATGCATACGTACACTTTTCTGTCCATATGTTTTACTTCAATAAAGTTTTTTTCTTAAGGCCGAGCATGGTGGCTCATACCTGTAATCCCTGCATTTCGGGAGGCTGAGGTGGGAGGACTGAGCCCAAGAGTTCGAGATCAGCCTGGGGAACATGGCCAGACCCCATCTCTAAAATTAAAAAAAGGTATTTTTTTTTTAAAAAAAGCCAAAACATGGGGGGCAATCCCAGCTGTGGAGGCCCCTGACAGTGCCCTTTTGTGGGTCTGAGTGGCCTCATCATTGGGGCTCCATCTGTCCCAGGAGGTCTGCTCACTTCGGCTTCCCAGCTGGCTGCGACAGGACCCGTATGCAGGGTTCCAACACTTCACCCAGCGGCAGGAACTGCGGCAGGAAAGGCCCAACTCAATGCAACACATTGCAAACCAGCTTCCTGGTTTCTCAGGCTCGTTTTTGTCTTGGGGGTTGGGAGTGATGATTTAGAGCTATAATCATCCAAGAAGGATAGACATCACTGTCATATCCCAGGTGACTTTTAAAAATGCTGCTTTGAAGCATACATCTTCAATGCCTTTATCCACAGGAGTGGCTTTACAATATTAAAATCGGTTCAATGCTGTGTTACTCCTCAGCAAGAGGCCTTTGCCATGATAGCCTGTGGCCAAGGAGAAATGACAAATGAGTGGTTCTTTTTAGCTGGTTCACAGAGAGAAGCCTTGAACTTCACCCACATAACCCCTCCATACTGGTGTCTGCAGCTGGCAGTGCGGTGACAGAGGCTATCTTGCACTCTATGATACTGTCACTGTCAGCCAGGCCACCTGGGTGGGGAGCCTCAGACAGGTACCCCCAGCATATTGAAACCACAGAAGCTGGAGCTGAAATGACTTTTGAAGACCCAAACACCTCACTCTACAGCTGAGAGGAGAGAAGGCTAAAATACAACTCCCGGACTCAGTGCCCAGGCGCTACGGTGTCCTTGCCCACACTGCCCAGGGCTAGGGTAGGAATCTCATGACAATAAGCTCTAAAAGTCACTGGGAACTGAGGGGCTTCACAAATCTTTTCAGCACATAGTCTCTTAGGGTCTGGCCTGTTTGCTATTAACACAATGGGATTCAGCCTAGAATGAAAACATCCAAGAATACAGAAGGCTGGGTCAGCTCATGACTGCAGTGGCAAAACGCATTCCCACACAGCCCCTTTCCGCTGTACGCCAAGGGCTTCTCAGTTGAAAAGGAGAGGAAACAGACATTCAGTCTATTTAGAAATGAGGCTAGCAAAAAAGGAGGTGACAAGTTACTCTGGTTCAGTTGATAAAAGTGCCTGAGCCTTCTTTTCACCTCCCTGACATCAGAGAATGAAAACAAAGACATTATACCGAAAAGTGTGGCCATTAAAAAGATCACACCCTTTACATTAATGTGCCAGCAAGCTCCTCACAAACCACAGACTCCCAGATGTTCTTAGCTGAAAGGCACCTGCCTCTAGGGACCTCCAGTGGGGAGCAGGATGGTCACAAAGTGAGAACACTAAGTCCTTTTTTTTGTTTTGTTTTGTAGAGACAGGATTTCATCATGTCACCCAGGCTGGTCTTGAACTCCTGGACTCAAGCAATCCACTCACCCCTCTCAAAATGCTGGGATTACAGACGTGAGCCACCGTGCCCGGCCTGAGAACACTAAATCTTATGTATGCCTTCAGCTCTTCCAAACCCCAAAGCACTCGCATCATTGTGTAATTTGGCAGTGGTACCAGTACTGGTTCCTGCAGTAAGTATGCTTAATATTAAAATGCACAGGGCATTTGGTCCTGAAGGAAAATAGCATGTGCATACAGCTTGTTCATTTACCAATAGGCTGTTTTTTTCACTGGCCTTGGATGCGTCCAGTGAAGAGGTCGCCAAGCTTTCCGTCATAGAGCAGCAGCAGCATTCAGGGAAAGGATGGCGGATTGCAAAACACTCCCCTTGGTGACAGGCTGAAATGCAGAAGGACCAGTATAGAATGCTCCTCAAGCTTTCAGAACTGAGCATATTTTAAGGTCAGAATCACAACCAAGGCAACGGAATGCAAGTCTTTTCATGTCGTATACCTTTAGTAAATTAAGAGCAACTGGTAAAATAAATACAAGTCTTCTTTGAATTAAGTATTTCATCTTTTTATTTCAAAAGAATAAAGGATACCAAGAAGCAGAAGAATGCAGTTAAAACCAGCAAAGCTGCAAAGTAGGAAAGAAAGCTGAGGGAGAGATGGATCCAATTTCAACGATATGGCCACTTAATGCAAACACAGGGGTCTGATGCTGCAAACCTAAGTCACATAACTCCAGTGACTTCAGCAGGTCCACTGATCCACCACAGTGACAAGGCTAGGCCCCTTCCTGCTGAATCCTAACTTTACACATTCTAGACACATGTCATGCACATACAGGTTACACTTTATGGTTACATGAAATTGCATGCAATTCACACAGAGAATCATTTTGAAGGCACTGTATTTTGCAGCAGGAGCTGCTACTTTCTGGCAAGTCCTTCCTAGGTTGGCTCACAAGTGGTCCTCCTTTTTATTTATTCCTATATGAAACTTTGGTGCAAAAATCAGGTGCAGTCTGATCCTACCCTGCCAGTTATTTTAGTTTCATGTCTCGCCCTCTCTTCCACATTCCCTTCTTAAATGTAGATGTCAAGCTTAGAAGATGTTTCCTGACAGTGAGATCCTGTTTAATTCAGATTTTCAAACAACTTTAGTCAAGCAAGCAGGAACTTATGTTGATTTAAAACAAGTTGTTACCAGTTTCCCTTACCCTTGAATTCAGCAAGGCCCATACTTCACAAATTCCATGATAAGATACTTGAGGTTCTGTATGCATATTAAATGATTTCTAGTTACAATTAAAATACAGCCTTGTATATGCTTAAGTCAACCTTAACTTTTAAAACATGATTTCAGTATATGCAACCTTAGGCTCACTTCCAGATTATAAAGTCCCATTCATGGGGTGCAAATGTTTACATCATTAGCAAAGAAAATAGCTCTGCATAATCTTTTGACATACATGCACACTTCTAGTTCTAAAATTCAGAGCAAAGCAAGAGATTCCAATTCCAGCGTACACTACGAAAGGCTGTGGACTGTGACTATCCATCCTTTTGGACCATAAGAAATTCACCTTTAAATTTTTTCTACTGTGCTGTTCTACTATATACTTTTGGTCTATCAACTTAGTAGGCCTGAAAAAAAAATGTATTTAACCTTCTAAATCTCATAATAGAAATTATGTGTTGTTCTTTAGCCAGAAAGGTTCACTGCTGACTCCCCCACCCCTCAAAACACAAAGGAAGAAACAAAAAAACACCACCAAAGCTTTCCACCATTCATGCACATGCTTATTCTGACCCCACCCCATCCCTACAAAGGGGCAGCAGAAAGCACAATGGTCAAGGAAAAGGGTATTTATTTATTTATTTATTTAAAGGAGACAGGCCTAGCTATGTTGCCCAGGCTGGTCTCCAACTTTGGGCTCAAGTGATCCTCCTGCCTCAGCCCCGCG